GAAATGGAGGGAGTCATACATTTAGTGGCACGTCATCATCTTGTAAGGATCAGTGATGTTTCTTTTCCATTTTTTTTTAACTGGCTGGCTTTAAAAGCAGTTAACTGCTTTACTGTTAGAAACTACTTCTGGTATTAATGAGATTTCTCAAAACAAGAGTGGAAAACTGCTTACAACCAAAACAAAACCACATCTCCAAACTGATGCCTCACTGGGCTCAGTGAAACACGTCCTATCACTGTCACCTATGATCTAGGGATACAAATGGATAGTAAACAGGGCGTTTAAAATTGCTTCGGATTTGCTTAGCCTTCAGACAGAACTTCAACTTTACAGGAAATACAGGAAATTAGAGGACAAGCTAAACACCAGCACACAGCAATCAGACAAATTCAAAAGGCAGACTTCTGTGGGGCCACCAGCCAAGTGCTTCTCCGAGACAATGCCACGAGGAAAGAAATGTGCTAGATCAAGGGGTTGGCAAGCTGTTGCTGTCAGACCAACCCCTATCTTTCTTTGCCCCTGAGCTAAAAATGGTTTTACATTTTTAAATAGCTGGGGGCGGGGGGGGGATCAAAACAATAATAGGATTTTGTGAAACCTAAAAATTATAAGAAACTCAAGTTTCGGTGTCCAAAAAAGTTTTACTGGAACACAGCCACACCCATCTGTTTATATAGTGTCTATGCCTGCTTTTGAGTGACAAGATCAGAGTATTTGCGGTAGCGATCATATGGTCCACAAAATAAAAAATACATACTATACAGCCCTTAAGGGAAAAGTTGGCCAACCTCTGTACTAGATACAAAACTTAAGGGCATCCAAATATGTGGCTCTGGATTGGATACTGTTTTGGACACGACCACCTTATAAAAGAGGCTCCAGAGAGACCCCTTGCCCGTTCCATCACATGAGGACACAATGAGAAGGCAGCAGCTAGAAACCAGGAAGGGGGTACTCACCAGAACGCAAACATGCTAATGCCCTGACCATGGATTTCCCAGCCTCCAGAACTGCGAGAAATAAATTTCTTATTTATAAGTCACTCAATCTGCAATATTCTCTTATAACAGCCCAAATGGACTAAGGCAATCTATAACATCAGCTTCTCTCAAGGTGTACTTACCACGTAGGTGGATTTTACCTCCCAGTCTATCAAACCCATGCACTTCTTTCCGCCTCCCCCCTACCATAACACTCCAGTCGGCCAACTCTGGCCCAAACGCCACTTTGACTCCCCTTCTGTTCTGCTCTCCACCCGACCCATGGTTTCTTTCATTCATAAATCTGATCTGATTTATGACACTCTTAACTGGACTTCCCACTATTAGGATGAGAATCAAGGTCCTAACAGGGTAGGACCTTGGCTCTGCTAATCTCTTTAGCTCATTCTATACCATCCTCCCACCCTCTCAGCCCCTTCCCCATTTCTCTCTGTTCCAGACCCACTGGTCATTTCTTCAGTTCCTCAAAAGGACCGTGTACCCTCTTGCCACGGGATGTTTGCACAGGCTGTTCTGTTTGGAACCCTCTGCCTTTCTTGGCCTACTGAACTCAGTTTTTCAGAGCTCAGTCCAAGTGTCACTTCCTCAAGGAAACCTTTTCTGACCTGCCAGAGTGTTTTGTTCCTCACAAATACCCAGAGGACCATGCTCCCTTTCTTCAGTGCCCTCATCTCTGTAACTGTGGTAAAGCCTTTAGTGCATTCATGAGGCGGTCTCCACCACAAGATGTGACCTAGTTCCTGACCACCACTGCTTCCTAGCATTTAGCACACGGGATGGCACACAGTAGAGACTCAGTAAATACTTTCACAGTAAATACTTTAAAGTGAATGAATGACTAGGTTGCTTAAGGGAATCGAAGGCATAGGAAATACGATCCAATCCCTAGAGAAATGGAATTTATACAAAAAAGGTGGCCAAAAGCCCCAACTGGCTTGCTTCTAGGACCACAGGGCAGGATCAGAATCCTGTTGAAAAAAGACAGCTACAGATTAATCCTAGGTACCTAAAAGCTGGATGACCCGAAGGGATAGTTATGCTACTAATTACTGTCAGCTGCTCTCTCATTGGCTCATGGAGAGGGGGGGGACTGCTAGACTAGGAATCATCTAAAGCCGTGCTTCTCAAACTAGGGGTGTTCCGGGGCGCCTGGTGGCTCAGTCAGTTAAGCTTCCAACTCTTGGTTTGGGTTCAGGTCATGATCTCAGGGTCCTGGGATCGAGCCCCACTTGGGGTTCCGCACTCAGCAGGGAGTCTGCTTGAGGATTCTCTCTCCCTCTCCCTTTGCCCCTCCCCCTACTTGAGCACGCAGACTCTCGGGCTCTAAAATAAATCAATCCTCTAAAAAACAAACAAAATTATGGGTGTTCCACAGAGTATGTAACACTTCGAGATTTCATGGAGTTTCAATTTTACTTCGGAAGATTTAGGGGATAATGTATCTTAATTTAAAAAGGGCACTATATTATTTCAAAGATAAACACAAAACATCCGAAGAAATGTAAATGCATCAAGAGTTAGTTACCCATCACTGCCGCCACCCCACCACCCCTGGAATATGCTTCCTTCTACACATAAATCTATTAAACAACTAGGGAAGGATAGACTTAAAAAGTTTAACACCGGCTATCTCAAGAGAGTAGGAAAAAAATGTATTCAAAATAAACGCACCTTCAAGAAGTCTTTCCGAACTCATCTTACCAAAAGGTTCAAATTCCTTTATCAATTTTCTTACCACCATGGTACTAAAACTATGTATATTGTTTTACCCATTCATTCATACCGCCATTGACCATCACTGTACTAAGTCCCTGGGAAACAAACACTACGGAGTATTTGCCTTAAGAGTGTGTGGTCTAGTGGGAAAGACACATAATATTTAATTATAAAATAATGCGTCAAAGGGTAGAGTTATGAAGTCTGCTCTTGCAAGTAAAAATCAACCAAGCAAGAAGGTAGTCAGTGAGATATTAGGGGCAAAAGTGACATTATGGTCCCGAACTGCCACTCTAAAACCTTGTCCAAGGCAAGAAACAGCGTGTCCAAGTGTTTGTCAAAGATAAAAGGGATGAGGCTGGGGGCGCCTGGGCGGCTCAGTCGTTAAGCGTCTGCCTTCGGCTCAGGTCATGATCCCAGAGTCCTGGGATTGAGCCCCGCATCAGGCTCCCTGCTCCGCGGGAAGCCTGCTTCTCCCTCTCCCCCTGCTTGTGTTCCCTCTCTCACTGTGTCTCTCTCTGTCAAATAAATAAATAAAATCTTTAAAAAAAAAAAAAAAAAGGGATGAGGCTGGAACAGAGGGCAGGACCAGAACACGGATCGGTTTTGTATGCTGTGTCAAGGTACTTCAACTATCCTGGGACAGTAACTGAAGGATTGGAAGCAGAAGAAAACTGTAGTTGATTTTTACACAGACCACACTGAAGGCTGTATGTATGATGCATTTAAGGAGACATGACTGGAGGCAGGGATTTCGTTTTATATCACAAAGAATAAGTTGTCTTTTCCTTGGGGAATCTCTCATGGCCCTTAGCCCATCTCCCCCACTAATTATATCACAGATTGGAGAAAAGCAGATAGACACCACACCTACAACTACTGAGGACTACACCCCAACCCCACCCCTGGCTCTCCCACAGCATTCTTAAACTTCTTTTGTGGCACTGAAAACATTCTCCCCTGCACTTGCTTTGTACATCTCTCTCTAGTCTGAAAACTGCACCACTCGTATCTTTCATAGTTCCAAAAAGTTAGCACAAAGTCTTTGGAAAAAATATCGCTTAAAATAACTCTCAGATCTAAGACTACATTTCCAATTGCCCAGCAAATGTTTCCAGCTGGATGTCCTGTAAGACTCTCAAACTTAACCTAATCCACATGGATCTCGCTACATCTCCTACCCATTGCCAAACTAATCATCCTTCCATTTCATATTTAGGTATTTATCCCAACTCTGAGTCATCTGACTGTTCACACTCCCTTACTTCCATAAACACAGCTGCCAAATGCTGCATATGTACATCTCTTCTCTCTCTCCCTTTTCCACTTCCCTAGTTCAAGCTCGGAAATGTTTCCCCATCTCTCCCCCTCCCCCATAGAACCTACAGTAACTATCAGGATCGCCTTACTAAAGCAGAGGTGTGGTCATTGCCCTTTCCCACCTTCAAGTAGCTGGAAACGCCACAAAGTCAAGAATCACACTGTTGTAACACACAGCCCCAGGTTCCTGGTACGTAACTGGCACTGTATGATCTACTTGATGAAGAAAGGCTGAAAGCCTTCAGCGAAGCTCCACTCTACACACAGTAAAAGTAAACTCAGCCAGACCTTTGAGTCCCAAGTTACCCTTCCAATCCTAGCTCTCCAGCTTTTCCCATGTGCCTGGTAGTAAATACTCTTACCCCTTTGGTTCCTGTCGCATCTTCCCCCCTCTTGTTCTACTGATGGTGAACAGATTATTGTTCTTGCCAAGTAACAGAACTTGTTTTTCTCCCCACTATTTGTGTCCTCCAGTTTCTGCACCAGATGGTGATGCCAGCAGATCAGGGGCCGGGTCTTTGCGCCCTGTGTTCCTAGCCGGTGCCTGGCCCCCCAGGAGCGCTCAATAACTGTGCTATGAACGCACGAATTAGTGAGTGAACGGGTCCGACACCGAGAGGGGAAGGGGCGGGAGGTGCACATGGGATGGAGGGGAATATGGGTGAGTGGCCTCTTTTTTTGGCCTACTTTTGTTTCCTTTTTTCTTTTTACTGAATACAACACATACGCTGAAAAGAGCATACATCATTGTACAGCTCGTTAATTTTCACAGATGTGTGATACCAGCACCCAGGCCGAGAAGCAGAATATTAACGGCACCCAGAAGCCTCCCCGCGCCCTCTTCCACCGAGTGCCCTCTCGACCTTCAGAAAGCCGGAGAGCTCAAGTCCTGGGCCCCTGGCTGCGGTAAGCGACGCGCGTGGGTGGTGTGAAAAGCCCAAGAACCAAGAAGAGGCTTACCCACGAACTTGAAGCGACTCATGTTAGCAGCACGGGTTCCTCCCCGGCGGAAGCGGAAGTAGTCGCCGTCGACCCGCCCTTCCGGCTGCCCCGCCCCTAGGCCCAGCCTCCGACTTCCCGGGAACCCCCGCGGCCGCTGGAGGAAGCGGGTCGTCATGGCGTTCTGCGGGCCGGGTGCCTACCTGACCCACCAGCAGAAGGTGTTGCGGCTTTATAAGCGGGCGCTGCGCCACTTGGAGTCGTACTGCGTCCACAGGTGGGAGAGGGAGAGCCGGGGTTCGGGGAGGTGACCCCGGGGATCCTCACAGAGGCTGAGAGGCCTTGAGGGACCCAGCGGCTCAAGGACATGGGGGACGAAGTGGGAAGGCGGCCATGGACCCGGGTTCAAATCCACGCTTCGTCGCTTCTAGCTGCGAGACCTTGAAGAGTTGCTTATCTGGCCCAGGCCTCAGTTTTCTGTTCAGGAGGAGCGACGCAGGACCAGCGCAGAGGGTTGCCTGACGATTAAATGAAATAAAGGAAAGTGCCTAAAACTCTAGTTGTTGTGCGTGCAGCGCTCACTATAGAAGAGCTTTCTTCTTGACCTTCTTGTTGCTAATATTAGCAGCAGGAATATGTGCATTGTTTTCTGTAGTCCCCATAACAACTCCAGGAGTTAGGGATTATTTAGCCCTAATTTACAAGTAAGAAAATGGGCATGGAGAGTAACTTGCCAAGGCCCTAGAGCTGGTGAGTGGCCGGGCCAGGATTAAAACTCAGGTGCTAACCCCAAAGCATCACCAGTCTCCCACTTCTCCAATCAACTTTCCTCTTTTTAGCTTCAGCCCTTTCCACTATTTTCACATCCACATAATTCTTTACCAGCCACGTCGTTCTCTTCTCTCCATCTGAGAGTAGTTTTAGGACAGAGTCTTAAAACACATAGATTTTCGTTACCTGAAGGCAGTGCATGTGTGTGGATCCTGGGCCTCCACTGCCTCACAGGAATCCGAAATCCTAGTCCCAGGAGAAGGGCTTCTGGGAGAAACCTCTAAACGATGGGAAACTAAGTAGGTCTGGAAAAGTTGTGGAGGATATCCTTAAAGCCCGCATTGCATATTTGTGATTCTTGGAAAGTCATTGACCTACTTCTCTCTGCTAGACAGAAAGATGGCCAGGTTCATTGTAACATTGTTAGTTTCTTCCCTGATCTTTCCTTATTCATTCATCTGACAAAATTTGCAACTCAGGTTCTATGCTGGCTACTGAATAAACAAAAACCAGTAAGTCCTCTTTCTCAGCTGTAGCAGCTCACAGATGAATGGGGAAGATGGACATGTAAACAAATAGATAAGAGAATTATCAATCTTATAAAGATGAAGGAAGTTGAGCTGTCACGAATTCAGATAACACTGAACTGCATCTGGGAATATTAAAACCCATAGTCCTGGAGGAGAAGTTGAAAGCATCTCCTGTGAGAACACTGACTCAGTGGTTTTTAAGTCTCACTGTTGTCCTCTCCCAGGACTTTTCTTCATCCATTTGTTCCTCGTGCTATTCTCCATGGTTCCATCCCAGGCCCTTGGTGGTGGTGTATATGCTTTGGACAGCCTCATCTAATGCTGGGACTTGAGTTACCACCGAGGCTCACTTGTCTCTAGAGCTGTTTTCCATTTATTTGTTAGATAACCTACAGTTCTCTGAAACTCAGCTTGTCTTAATGCCTTAAAACCAAACTCTTTACCTCATTTTGATTTTCTTCCTCAATTCCCTGTCTCAGCTAATAGCATTGATTAGTAATTCAGTCACTCAGCTTTAAGTCTTAGAGTCGTTCTTAAGTACTCCCTACTTATTCTGATGCCAGTGACACATGTGCTTGTGTGCGGTGTATATTTGGACACTGATTTTTGTAAATTCTCTCCACGGTGTAATAATATTGTAACTGACATTGAGCAGAGGAGGTACCAGGCAGCTGTCTGAAGTGTGTTGATATGTTTTAACTCCTCAAATCTTTAGGATACTTTGAAGATCTAGATACTGTTACTAACACTTTTGTAGAGGAGGAACCCATGGCCTAAAGACATTAATTTACCCAGATTACACAGCTAGTAAACTAAGATTTAGTCTGAAACGATCTGATTTTAGCAGACACTCTCAATTCTGTAATGTAAACGTTTCTCTCCTGTCTCCTACCATCACACGTGCCTGCTTCAGGCCCTTCTCATCTGTGGCTTGGATTATTGTCGAAGCCAAATGATCTCTGCCTTCCGTTTCTTCTAGAACCTGACCTTAACTTGCCTACAGTCGTGCAGTTAGTGTCAGAATTAGGATTCAAACCCAGGTCTGTGTGATTCGAGCAATATTGTTTCCACTGGGTAACACCTCCCTTCCTACTCACCGTTGTATCTCCAGAATTTAGCACAGTGCCTAGCACAAGGTAGGAGGAATCTCAGTAAGCTGTCATTCAATGAGTGTTGAGTGATCTGACAGAGGCTGTAGTTTTTCTCTCTTGCAAATTTTTTTGTGTGTGTGTTTGAATCAGCATTCCTTTTTTGGAGGAGAGAGGGAGGAAAGTGGTTAGGTTGTGTTTAAATTATTTTTTTTTAAACTTTTTTAATTTATTTATTCATGAGAGACAGAGAGAGAGAGAGGCAGAGGCAGAAGCAGGCTCCCAAGGAGCAGGGAGCCCGATGCGGGACTCGATCCCGGGACTCTGGGATCGTGACCTGAGCCGAAGGCAGACGCCCAACCATCTGAGCCACCCAGGCGCCCTCGGTTGTGTTTAATACAGTATTTTTTTTTTGCTGCTGCCGCCGTGTGGGGGACTGCTGAGGAGGCAGTCATATTGATGTGGCTGCTTCATTGGCAGGGTCTGAGGTGCTTCCAGGTAGTTCGGCTACACATTCAGAGGATGTTAGTAGAAGTGCAGCCTCTTGTCAGACAGTAATCCTGCTCAGCTGAGTGGATAACGTTTCTAATCTCCAAAACCATTTTGGTTAAAGGGACAAATACCGGTACTTTGCTTGTTTGATGAGAGCCCGGTTTGAAGAACATAAGAATGAGAAGGACATGGTGAAGGCCACCCAACTGCTGAGGGCGGCGGAGGAAGAATTCTGGCACAATCAGCATCCTCAGCCATACATCTTCCCTGAGTCTCCGGGAGGGACCTCCTATGAGAGATATGAGTGTTACAAGGTAGGTGAGCACTGCAGTGGTGACTGCCTTCGGAGAGGCAGACCTTCTTTCTCCCGTCCCAAACCTCAGCCCCAAATCCGCTTGTCCCGTTAGGGGCAGCTAGGCAAAGTTCTTTCCTGCCAGTGGTAAATACTTTTCTATTTGCAGGTGTCCATTTTCCCTGTCCCGGGTGACATTCTTGTTGCTTTGTCTTTCTGAATTCAGCTCCAAGGTCTGGCAGTATCTTTTTGGCAAAGCAGTGTGCTAAATTACTTGGTATATAACTCATTTTGGGATCTTAAAGTTAACCAGTTCGGATTGGTGCTTAGTATTTTGGAGCAATTACAGGTAACAGTCCCGCGCCTCGTCAAGCTGCTCTGCGTAATTAGAGAATGCAGATCAGGGAGGATCAGTGTCAGCTGTCTCTGAACTGACCTTGAGGTTTCTCAGCCCTTGGCTCTGACTCTGAGCCGTTCTTTGTGTCGGTGTGAGCTCACCCTCCGCTGGTCGTTGTGCAGCGCCTGAAACATCTGATGCTTGCAGTGGTTATAAAAATACACTGTCATTTTTGCCTTCTGCCTCCTGAGCAGGCCCTGCAGGCGGCATGCCCGCACCTCCTGTGGGCTGATGTGGTGATTTCCCCTCCTGACAGGTGCCCGAGTGGTGCTTAGATGACTGGCATCCCTCCGAGAAGGCGATGTATCCTGATTACTTTGCCAAGAGAGAGCAGTGGAAGAAGCTGCGGATGGAAAGCTGGGAGCGGGAGGTGAGTCTTCCCTGCCTTTCGCTTCACAGCTTGGCCCACATGGTCCGCGCCTGGAAGGGGCTCAGGTTCTGTTCCCCAGGTGCAGAAGTCCAGAGTCCAGTTATGACAGTTACTGCAGCCCCTTGCCTCTCAGATATACTTGCATCTCTAAATGTGGTAAACGTGACCTTTACAGGCTTCTTGCAAACGGGTGACAGGGTGTCGCTGGTCTCTTAGGGTTTTCTGCTCCTTGGTTTTGCTTCTCCCCTCCTTCTCCTCAGTCCTCCGCCTGACCATCTTCCGTACCCTCCGGTCCCTGAACTTTCCTCTCCGCCAGCGTCTTGGACATTTTTCATTTGTGGGTCTGATTTACATTTTTAAAAGCTCAACTTTACTGTAGTATGAAGAGTACATTGGAGAGGGCAAGAGGAGAAGTGGAGAGACCAATTTGGGGTTGTTGCAGTTTGGTCAGAAGATTATGGCAACCAGCACGGGGTGGGGGGGCTGCAGTGAAGAGGGAAAGAAATCGATTCAGGGCATCATTTGGCGGGATATGAAGGCTGACTGGATGTGGGGGATGCATGAGGGACAGGGAGGAATCGAGAATGAGATCCACGTTAACACCTGGAGTCTGGTGATGGTTCATGAAGATGAAGAAGAGGAAAAAACAGGCACCAGTCGGTTAAACAGCTGACTTGCGATTTCTGCCCAGGTCGTGATCTCAGAGTTGTGAGATGGAGCCCCATGTCCAGCTCCGGGCTCAGTGGGGAGTCTGCTTCTCTGCCCCTGCACGTTCTCTCTCTCCCCCCCCCTCTCCTTCTCTCTCTCAGATAAATAAAAAAAAAAAAAGAAAGATAAAACAGGTGTCAGGGGGACAAGTAAGTGTTTGGTTTTAAATTTGTTAAATTTGAGAATGCTGTGAGACACCCAAGTGAGATGTCAATAGGCGACTTTGGGTGTAGGAACCTGGAACTCAGAGATTTGAGCTCGAAACAAATTTGTGAGTTATCCATTGTTTTAAAAGCCATGGAAATGAAGGAGATCCTTGAGAGAGGAGAGAGAGCAGAAAAGTCACAGGCGCTCCCACTTGTGGAGGTGAGGGAAGGAGGCAGCAAAGCACCCCGCAAGGGGAGAGGGGTGACGGCGAGTCCAAGCC